AGGGTTTAAAGAAGACGAAGGATTACAGGCCACAAGTTTGCAAACTGCCAACTACACCTCGAAATCAATGACTGTTTTTATTAGGAAGAAGGCTGAAGAAACTGTAATCACAGCAGCCCAGCTCAACAACATACTTCCAATGGACTTTGTGTCTGTGGACCACTTAAAATTGGTTTTTACAATTGATGTCCACGTTCAGCGAAGTTTTTGAGAAAAATTTGTATAGAAGTGTAAAGTATGATCATCCGCAAAACTTGTGGCAATATAATTTGCGGTATCGGATAACGGTCTTTAATCAGGTTGTCAATCGACGATGAAGAAAATATTTCCGAAGGAAGAATAGGACGTGGAAATAGTTATTATCAAATCTGATTAAACTCAGTAAAACAGACAAGTATGGATAAAACTTTGATGTACCCACTTCTTACCGCACTACCGTCCGTAAGTATGAACTGGTAAGCCGGAGAGACTTAACAATACCTACCGTCAACTCCTTGGCTTCTCTTGTCTGACCAAATAATGGTATTTGAACGTATGTAGCACTGACTGTCTAAAAGATTAAGATTACTAAAGTTATTTAAGTTTTATTAACCACTGACTGTCTAAAAGATTAAGATTACTAAAGTTATTTAAGTTTTATTAACCACTGACTGTCTAAAAGATTAAGATTACTAAAGTTATTTAAGTTTTATTACCCACTGACTGTCTAAAAGATTAATATTACTAAAGTTATTTAAGTTTTATTAACCACTGACTGTCTAAAAGATTAATATTACTAAAGTTATTCAAGTTTTATTACCATGTTTTTATCACACCTGTATTGCATATAAAAGTCAAAAATCGACAGCTTGTTTGGTACACATCATAAAACTTGATGTTTTAGGTTTGTTTAAGCCGTATATAATATGTTTTAAGTTTGTTTTAGCCATATATTATAGGTTTTTATGGTAAATGTTACACTCCAATAATTTCAAGATATAGAAAATAGCATTATAGAATGATGTGTTTATTTAGTGCAAATTAACTGGTTAAGCCTTTTCCTTTTCTTGTTTTTAAATTTAACTTTCTAAGTGTTTCTTTTCCCATTATTATCTATTGTGCTTCTAATATTAATAAGTAGCCTAATAACAAGTAGGAAGCAGAAACTCTGGTGAGAATACAACCATTGATTAATTTCAACTTAGGTTTAATACCCTCTATGTCAGGATTGTATTTGTTTTTAATCATTTGATACAAAAATCCTTATAAATAGTCAAAATCTTCTTAAAGCTAGTAGGGAATATTGATATTTTAAGCAACAAAATATTATTCTAGGATTCATACAATTTATTTCTTTAGTATCTTTAATGAAGTGTTTTAAATAACCTTTCCAAGTAAAGAGAATCTGTTTTACATAAAAAATAGAGACCACCTAGGATCACTTTATTATAAAAACTTTTAACTGTCAAAGTTTAATATATAGCTTTCTCAGCTTGCAATAAGGTGGCATACTATTCTACAATGAGTCATATTTGATGTTGATTACGTTTAGAGAAGTGGTCTGCCTGATTAATATCGTTCTTGACGTAGAGGACTTTCCCTTTAAATAAACTTTAAATCTATTGTAAATCAATGTGTTATTATGTAAAGATGTAAACTGTTTGAGAACATAAATGTTAATAAGAAACTTGTAAGAACTGTAATACACACACATATATATATATGTATACAAGAAATATATTATTCAATATATGTATACAAGAAATATATTATTCATTTAGTTAGTTGTATATATTTTTTTAGAATTTTCGAGCAAAGCAACACAAAGGCGATGTACGAATAGTAGTCCCTAATTTTGAACTGATATATTAGAGAAATGAAAGCTAGTTAAGAGCACTCACTCCCACATTTGTGCTAATTTTGTCTGCCCGAATATGTGATTTATGTTTCACTTCTTGATTCCCGTCCCGTTGCTCCAAAATCACGTTCCACATTTTCTTACCACGTCGTTTTTAAATCAATATGTATTACTAATTATTATCTGTTCATGGCATGACCAGGTGTTTAGGGAGCTAGACATGCAATCTGTTGGTCGCGTGATCGAAACCTGTCACCGTACATGATACCTTTATCAGCCATGGGACGTTATAATTAATGATCAGTCCACTATTCGTTGGTAAAAAGTAGCCCAACATTTTGTGGTGGGTATTGTTGATTATTGCCTTTTTTCTAGTTTATCACTTCAAAATCATGGCCAGCAGATAACCCTTGAGTAATTTTTTTCTTCCGCCATTTTCCTTTCCTCTTCTCTTCCAACTTAGCCAGGTGGTTAGGGCCCTCGTCTTAAAATCTGCTGGTCGCAGGTTCGAATCCCCGACCCACCAAACATGCTCGCTCTTTCAGCCGTGGGGGCGTTATAACGTTACGGGCAATCCCACTATTCGTTGGTAAAAGAGTAGTCCAAGAGTTGGCGGTGGGTGGTGATGACTAGCTGTCTTCCTTCTGGTCTTACACTGCTAAATTAGGGACGGCTAGCGCACATAGTCTTCGTGTAACAAACAAACCTTCCAACTTCATTAACTTTTCACTCCTTCTCAGTCAAATTTATTCAATTTATGTCCTAAAATGTTCTCCTGTTTTATAGAGTGTTAAAAATTATACTGTTCTTGGCCATTTTTCAAATTTATTATACTAAACATTATTGTTTTGCATTTGAACGAGAATCAACTGTTATTTATTATCAATATATTTCAGGAAGCTGACATTGCTATTGTAGACCTCACAATTAGTAGCTCTCGAGAGGAAGCGGTTGACTTCACCATGCCATTCATGAACACTGGGATTAGCATATTGTTTAAGAAACCCGTTACTAAGGTTACATCCCTATTTTCATTTCTTTCACCCTTTTCAATGGAAGTTTGGATATACATGATGGGTGCTTATATTGGAGTTTCGTTGACATTGTTTCTAGTAGGAAGACTTAGTCCGTATGAGTGGGGCAATCCTCATCCATGTCGTCAAGACGACCAGGTATTGGAGAATAGCTTCAGCCTGCTTAATAGTTCGTGGTTTACTATTGGTTCACTTATGCAGCAGGGTTCTGATCTAGCACCAAGGTAATTACTGCTAAAATATATAACTCATCATTTATTAAGTTTCATTACAGCTCTTGCATTCAATAAACGATAAACATCGTGTTGATTTAAAGCACATATCTTAACCTTTTATTACATTAATGGTTACGTGGAAATAAAAATATCTATTTTTAAAACGTGTGTATAGAAAATAAACAACATTTCGATCTATTTCATATTGAAAATCCAGTTAAAGGAAATATTTAACGTTTAGATGTTCTATACGTGCTGGAGAATAAAGAGCTTCTGGCGTGGTTCAATTTGGACAATGTATAGCATAGTACTAAAAGAACACACTATCGTGTGTAGCAATTAGTGAAAAAAAAACACAGTAAAAGGAACGAACTGTCAGAAGTTTGATATCAGAGAAACTAGCTTCGACACATTCGTGCGTTCTCTTCAGTCTCACTTTGTTTTCTGACAGGAAAAAAACTGGTCAACAAACATATGAAGAAAAATGGCATAAAAAAGACGTAAAATATGGAAAACAAAACAATGACATTTTTTCTTCATATGAGAGATTCTGGCTATCAAATCGATTGGAAATTAACAATAATTTTGTACGAAATGGATAACTACACAGCGTGGTCACAAGTAAATAGACACCACCTTTTCAGAAAAAATGAAAATTTTCAGTCATATTCACATGAATTGATATATTTATAATGTAATTAATATCTAGTAGATCTTCCTTTCGCTTTGTGGAGTTCGTTGATCCTTTGGGGCATCGTAAGAATTATCTCGTCAATTTTAGATTGTGGGATTTTCGCCAACTCTTGCTTCAAAACTTGGAGTAGATCGCTCTTCGAAGTTGGTTTTTTTTTGGTTGTTTCTTGACTTGCCGGTCCAGTATGGCCCAGACGTTTTCGATGGGGTTCAAAAGATTGGCTCGGCCAGGGCAACTTCTAGATACCATTTTCTTCCTGCTACTTTTGGGTGTTTCTAGCAGTGTGACACGGTGCTCCATCTTCCTGGAACAACGTTGTGTTCTTGTCCCGAGGAATAAAGTG